GATTGATACTCAATGGTAACGGCACGAAGAAACTCAGTGCTCAATATGAGTTGACCAAGAATGTCGAATGATCTCGGATATCTTTAAGTTTGATCCTGCAACAAGTCCATAGTCAGGTCAATGTACTACATCAAAAAATGCCAATAAAAAATAGAGGGAGTTATGTCATTTAATAAACGAAAAAAATTATGTATACATGATAAATAACAATCACGATATTACACTTATATCGTCAGCAAGCCAAGTTTTCGAAGTTGTGATGTCATGAAAACCCTTATAGGCATCGAAGATTGTACTTTGAGTTATCATGTAGCTATCGCTGAAAAAAGAAACAGAAAGATTGTGAAAGAAGCATATATGAGTTAGCGTAGCGTAGTTCACTAAAATCATAAAATACTTGCCATGGCATAATTCTTCGCCACTCTGTCTCGAATGCTTTCCAGTCGTCGAACATCTTCCTCTTCGCCTTAATCGTGAAGGGAGAAATGACGTATTGTGATGGCAATCTCAACTTCTTGCCAACTACATGTTCTGGCACGTCAACAGCACGCTTCTTACCCTCTGTCGTGACTGGCATCCTCCCCTCATCTCGACCCGAGGGTTCACCATCTCTTCCGTCATCGAGACTACTCCCTCCGCCCCAGGCACATCCTCGGCCTCAGGGACCACCACCTCCTCCATCTCGTGCATAGCCACCTCCTCCATCATCGGGGCTACCCCATTCGCCTCAGGCACCGCCCCTCCTCTATCATCGGAGCCACCCCCTCCGTCCCGGGGACCTACTAAATCGCCTTGGAGCGCTATGATCTTATCCTAAAATTCTCATATATGATCTCGAAGCACTGTAATATCATGGCATAAACTTGATACCTTTCCGCTCAACCCTCGTTGCAGCGCCCATATCCCCTCTCGTAGCTGATAAGTGTGTTTTTACACACTTATTTACCACTTTTTGTATTTAATTGGGATTTAAATTGAGTTGATTTCTATACAGAATTGTGCAATTTTGTATGTTGTAGGCTTTGTACCCGAATTC